GGGGGGGGGGAATGACAGAAAATAATTGAGAACCACTGGTATAACAGGTCATTCACTTGATAAACTGATTAAGTGGGTGCATTGCGCCACCGTAAAAAAAATTGTATATAACAGTAAACAATGCTCAAAGGAGAAAACGATTTACCAAGATCAAAATTATTCCACACTGGGGAACACTTCTTAGAACGATCCGTAATTTAGCAAAACTCCAGCCAACAAACCCACGACATGTTGATACAGTTTGTGTCGTTATGAACACACTTTAGCGCAGCACATTGAAACGATTCACTTCCTGTATTGGTCACGTGATCCTTTCTTAAAGCAATACACGCACCGATACGGGTTTCACTCTTGAGCTCTCGCCACTGTGCTGACGCACCAGTGTCGCTAGTCCCATCACTAATGAAGGGTGTTCTTTCTGAAGTGCTAATTTACAGCACTGTGATTAAAGGGTCTGTTTTATTTATCTTTTATTACCTGAAGCAAGTTCAGTGCTTGTATTGCTCAGAAAAGTGTTCTCACTATTTTTGATGTTAACCTAAGCACTTTTTATGGACCTGATGTTCTATTTTTTATTTATTTTGTAATTATTTGGAGCTTAACAAAAACAAACAAAATAGTGACGTTCCCCATGGTGGTCGAAACTAAATGTGGCATGTAGGATTTGGGACTCGTCTCAAACCAACACTGCATACGAAGAGTAAAAATCAGGCATCCAAAAACAGACAGTTAAAACATAAAAAGAGTAAAAACAGTAAAACAATGGTGAGTCTCATGCTCAGTCAAAAGCCATAGAATTAAAAAAAAAAGTGTTTTAAGACGAATTTTAAAAATGTACAGACATTTAGCAGGTCATTCCAAAGAGAGGGACAACTCTTGTAAACTTACCGCTGAGACCATGGGTGTTCAACTCCGGTCCATAAGGGCCCATATCCATCCTGTTTTAGATGTCTCCCTCCTCCAACACACCTGATTCAAACGATCTGGATCATTATCAGGCTTCTCAGTACTTGCTGATGATATGATCATTTGAATCAGGTGTGTTGGAAGGGGGAGACATCTGAAACATGCTGCTTACTGGCCCCCGAGTTGGACACTCCTGGTTTGTACTGTTTATTTATCAACATGAATGTCACTTCTAACAGCTTTGTGTTTTTACATCAGGTGGGTGCAATGCAGTGACCCGAGAATATCAGCTGTCCCGATCAACATCCCTGCTGACACAGTGAAACTCCGTCTGGAAAAGACTCTGATTACCAGGGTACCCAGAGCAGCCTTCTTCAACCTGTCAGAGCTGCTCTTCTTGTGGCTTACCTACAACTCCATCACAACCATCCACCCCAGCAGCTTTGTTAACCTGAGAGTCCTGAGAGAGCTGCGTCTGGATGGAAATCTCCTCACTGCCTTCCCTTGGGAGGGGCTCAGGGACATGCCTCACCTTCAGACTCTGGGTCTTCATAATAACCAATTATCTAGCCTTCCATCTCAAGTTGCACTCTTTCTTCCCAACATCACCTACCTTGACTTATCCAGTAACAGGTGTGACCAGCTGAAAAAAAACCCGCTTTATTCAGCATGTATGCTTAACTTTTCTCCTCTTCTCAGGTTGACTATGTTACCAGCCGAACTGTTGGACCTTTGGTTCCCTCTTCTGGGCCAAATGGAGAGATCAGCACAAAGAAGAGTTTTGGGTATGAATTTACACCTTAAATGTATGTATATCTACAACATTGATTCCTTACCTATTGAAAGGACTATTTTTGACCCTGAAGAATTTTTTTAAAGGATTTTCGGGAATACACCAACACAATGGATAATCTTAGGTTTTACAACAATAACACTAACGACATGACGGTCAGAGATAGCGCCCATTTTTTGCCTCCATTTTTCAGAGAGTTTATACTTTATATAATGTTTCAAACCACAATGCCGGATAAAAATAAAAACCAACAACAAAACCTCTATGTTCAGATTTTTGTCGGTCAAAACTGTGTGTAGAAAATGGCTGCAGCAGTGTTTTGCATGGACATGTATGGGAGGCCCGGTGGTCGAGTGGTTAGTGCGTCGACCTCGCAGTGCAGAGGTGCAGGCTTCAATTTCGGCACCCGCCTTCCTGTGTGGAGTTTGCATGTTTTCCATGTGCCTGTGTGGGCTTTTTCCGGGTACTCCGGTTTCCTCCCACATTGCAAAAACATGCAGGGCACGTGGATTGGGCAATCCAAATTGTCCCTCGGTGTGATTGTGAGCGCGGATGGTTGTTCGCCCTTGTGTGCCCAACGATTGGCTGACAACTGGTTCAGGGTGTCCCCCGCCTACTGCTCGAAGACAGCTGGGATAGGCTCCAACACACGCCGCAACCCTTGTGAGGACAAAGCGGATCAGAAAATGGATGGATGGATGGATGAATGACTGCCAATGTGCATTGGTGTTGTGTGAAGTTGAATCTAGTGGTCAAAAAAGTTTTTTTATCGAGATTATTCTCGGCCATTGTCCTAATACCCAGCCACTGGAGGTCTTTACTGCAAGTCCCAAGTCTGGATGAATGGAAGGGTTGTGCCTTTCCTGCTTGCGTAGTTTGTAGACGATTGCTGCTACACTCTGCTTTCGTTTGCATTGTTTTTCCTGATAAATTCCATTTTTCTTTTTCTGATGGTGTCTTCTGGAAAAAAATTATATCTGTGGGACTGTATCATTTTTCAATATTTTAGCTACATTCAGCTGTAGCCATTTTTTTTTTTTCGTTACCACATCACGATAACCCGAGCACAGCCTACTAATTCGCACAAGACGGATATTAGCAACAAGGCTCAACGCAACACGCCCCCATTATCCACTGAAGACTCACAAACATCTTCATAAGATGTTTAGTGGAGACAAAAATGCACCGTGGAGGTAAATGGGCAATCAGGAAATAAAACCGCATGACCAACGTCTCAAAACAGTGGACACAAGAATGCTAACAGACAGCTAGTTAGTCCCAGAGATGTAGCTGAAAGAAATGGCAATGAATCATCCATCATCCCTCTCTGGAATTTGCTGGGAGCGAAGCCAAAATATACGAAACGATGACCAACAGACAGACCTGAGCATGCAGGACGCAGATCAGGCAGAACCCAAGGCACAGAGATCTGTGATGCGATTGGATGGCCAGTGTTATCATGCTCCTCCATGCCTGTACAGGGAAAGGCACAGCCATGGACGACTACTTAAAGGAAGATGAGCAACAAAACTCTTAAGCAACAAAGTATACAATTGCTAAATAAATTTGCTCCATTGTTGTAAGACGCTGGATCAACATCTGACACCCTGGACAATTTCTCACACTCGCAGAGAAGGGTAAGGTCTGTAAATATATCAGAAGATAGGAGAGTGGAAAGAAAGCTAATGCCTTGGCCTCAACTGTGGTTGTGGGTGACTCTGCCAGAGGTGAGATGCATGTACACTCACCGGCCACTTTATTAGGTATACCTGTCCAACTGCTCGTTAACACTTTTTTCTAATCAGCCAATCACATGGCGGCAACTCAGTGCCTTTAGGCATGTAGACATGGTCAAGTCAATCTCCTGCAGTTCAAACCAAGCATCAGTATGGGGAAGAAAGGTGATTTGAGTGGCTTTGAACGTGGCATGGTTGTTGGTGCCAGAAGGGCTGGTCTGAGTATTTCAGAAACTGCTGATCTACTGGGATTTTCACACACAACCATCTCTAGGGTTTACAGAGAATGGTCCGAAAAAGAAAAAATGTCGGGTGAGCGGCAGTTCTGTGGGCGGAAATGCCTTGTTGATGCCAGAGGTCAGAGGAGAATGACCAGACTGGTTCGAGCTGATAGAAAGGCAACAGTGACTCAAATAACCACCCGTTACAACTAAGGTAGGCAGAAGAGCATCTCTGAACGCACAGTACGTCGAACTTTGAGGCAGATGGGCTACAGCAGCAGAAGACCACACCTGGTGCCACTCCTTTCAGCTAAGAACAGGAAACTGAGGCTACAATTTGCACAAGCTCATCGAAATTGGACAAGAGAAGATTGGAAAAACGTTGCCTGGTCTGATGAGTCTCGATTTCTGCTGCGACATTCGGATGGTAGGGTCAGAATTTGGCGTCAACAACATGAAAGCATGGATCCATCCTGCCTTCTATCAACGTTTCAGGCTGGTGGTGGTGGTGTAATGGTGTGGGGAATATTTTCTTGGCACTCTTTGGGCCCCTTGGTACCAGACTGGTTTCTTGAACATGACAATGAGTTCACTGTACTCAAATGGCCTCCACAGTCACCAGATCTCAATCCAATAGAGCATCTTTGGGATGTGGTGGAACGGGAGATTCGCATCATGGATGTGCAGCCGACAAATCTGCGCCAACTGTGTGATGCCATCATGTCAATATGGACCAAACTCTCTGAGGAATGCTTCCAGCACCTTGTTGAATCTATGCCACGAAGAATTGAGTCAGTTGTGAAGGCAAAAGGGGGTCCAACCCGTTACTAGCATGGTGTACCTAATAAAGTGGCCGGCGAGGGTACGTCAGGCATGTCCAGCCTGTTTTCCAGCTCTCCTGGCTGCAACACACCTGATTCAGATGGACAGCTCACCAGCCAGCTCTGAAGCAGCATTAGAACGATCCTGATGATTTGAATCAGGTGTGTTGCTCCTGGGAGTGCTGGAAAACAGGCAGGACAGTGGCCCTTGACGACCGAGTTTGGGCACCTCTGTTGTACATCAACAACACCAAAATGTGATATGGTCTCTAACAGGATCCTGAGTATTGTTGCGGGAAATTCAACTTTGGAGAAACATCATCAAGCACACAAGGGCAAGTGAGTGTCAGCCTGAAATACTCAAATCTACTCAACACAGTTCACTGAAAGTTGTATCATTGGACCTCTTCCACCAGTTAGAGGAGGAGTAGAAAGATGCAGCCAGCTGCAGTCACTGAAAGCACGGCTTTCAACTGCTTGTGACATGTAGTCAGTGCATGCCATTGACAATTTTAATTTTTTTTTCAACCACAGACATTTTTTTAGGGAGACATGGATTTTACTGAAAAAAGTCAGGCATACAGCTTTTCACAACCAAACTATATTTCTTCCTGTGTCAGAGTGTGCCCTCTGCCAAGGGCAAGATACGAGGCAAACTCAAACAAAACAAAGAAAGACCGAAACATGGGAGTGGTGCTGACACTCCCTCTACCTGATGGGTCAAACTACGTGGGACGTCAGAGCAAAGATAAGGAGGACTTGCCACTCCCACCAGCTGACACTGCCGATGAGGATTCACTTCATCCAAACCCATCCCCACCGGGTTCATCCTATTCTCCCCACTGCTGGAGTTCACTGACCAAATGAACAGACTTGTTAAGATTGGCATCCAGGCTAACTCCCCAGCCACAACAAGTCCGTCTCGCCACCCTCCATCATCTAAGACTCGGGTCCCACCATCCTTACCCATTACACGACTACAGTGAGATCCTCTTAAGTCTGTTGATAGGAGCTCAGCATTAAACCCTGTTTGAAAAAAGAGATCTACACTGGATCTAGAGCAAATACTGTTGACTCATCCAAGAAAAAGCAGGGCCCCGATGTGCCAGAGGTTTTGTCAGTTGATTTCTATCTTCCATATTTTCACAACCATAAGATGAACATATAAGTCTTAAATTTTTGCCAAAATGGACAGGGTGCCGAACAGATTCAGATTTTCTAAATTCAGATTTTCTGAATCTGAATAATGCGGGTTGTGTGAATGCTGTTGTGTGACTTCGATGAGGGTTCCGCATGACTGACTGACTGATGTTGTGCAGACACATTGCTTATGTAGAGGAAAGGCGGACATCACTGAGGACTGCATGCGGATGTTAAAATGGGAAGGATGGGCATGAAAGAGTATGTTGAAGGCACGCCCCCAGTCGTGCCAGTACGTGGCTTGTGCAAAACAACATCCCAAAAATGGCATATACGAAGACACACGCTTATGAAGCACAGTTTAAAGTGTAGGCTAACAGTTACGCGTAGGACTACGGGAATTGAGGAGCCGCAAGAGAGAATTCAAGATCAACTAATCCACGGTTCTTGGGGCTTTTGTTTTATGAAACCACGCCATCTATCCATCTGGGCAAGCATGATCGTGGCGCAGCAACATCCGGTGGATTACAATAAAAAAGTTGGCCAATGTCCACTTCTACTGCATTAAAAATTGGCATGTTCTGCGTTATTTTAAATGAAGACTCTTTCTTGGAGATTTTAATCCCTTATTTTGCCACTCTGCTGGCCTCATTTGGCTTCCATTACCAACTGTTCTCTCAACCAATCCCCACATTCCTAGCTTGGGCTATGGCAAGTGATGACGAACAAGCAGACTTAGCATTTTGAAATAAAACTAAAGCATTTCCCACAAACACATTCAGCCCAACCACCTCACCAACATGGACAAGGTGCCACTCACTTTCGACATCCCAAACCACACTGTAGAGAAGGGGACCAGCACGGTAGTGATACACACGAGGCGCAAGAAGTCGGCTTTTACTGTCGTGTTTGGTTACCAGGGCAATGGACAGAAATGACCATTGACAGTGATTTTTAAGCCCAAAGAAAACTTTCCAGCTGTAGTTAAAGTTAAGTTGCGAATGGTGTGGGAGCGATGGTGCCTTTTTAAAAGCATATGCCACAATTTGTGAATGGATGATTGCACTGTTTAAT